CAAGAAAGGCAAGGCTCACCAAGCCATCCATCTATCCGCCCCTCAGTCAATCCCACCTGCGTTTATCAGCCAGGCTGGCACAATAAACTGTCTCAATGGGTAACATTGTAATGTGCGATGTCTAACCATATGACCTGTAACATTTCCCCTCCGCTGGTTTAGCTCTCTTCTAAATACTTTTCTTTCCAATGTTAGAGTTATCATTTATCTTTGTAGGTTAGTAGTAGATTTCTTCTTTTCCTTTCTCTTTAAAATGGAGAATTTTTACCCATAAAAGTGTTAAGTATTAACAACTCAAAACCAAACTTACTGCCATTCAGTTGATGCCGACTGGCAGTGACCCCATCGGACAGGGTAGAACTGCCGTGAGTTTCTGAGACTGTAACTGGTTATGGGAGTAGAAAGCTCCAGCTGTCTCCCGTGGAGCGGTTGGTGGATTCGAACTGCTGACAAGGTGGATGGCAGTCCAGTGTGTAAGCCTGACGCCACCAGAGTCCTCTCTGGTATTCACGTGAAGAATTTGGCATGCAGCTCCCAAAAGAACCTGATCAAATTTGGCCGTAAATGTGGCTTGTTTATAAAAGCTATTTGATACAGTCCTCAAATGAAAATTGACGTGTTCTGTGTGAATAGCGGGGTGGGGGGTATTGTTCCAAGCTGCCATAAGTGGTTCTATTTATGTAGAAATATGCCTTGCCACAGATAATGAAAAGGCGTCTCTAAAATAACAAACCCGGATTTCCAAAGTCAAACGTTCAAAATCACAAAAACCTTCTTAATGAGAAACAACCATAGTATTTATTTCTTCTAGTAGTATTTAGACACTAAATTATTTGACATCTCCCACACACTAAAAATGTTTGTCTTTGTAGATTATATAAAGAAAAGTTTTCTAATTTTAATGAAAAAGAGTATAGTTCTGTCAATTCATAGCTTAGAGTTTAGTGCCTAAACCCAAGCAAGTTAAACTAGTTTGAATGTGTCATCTAAGTCAACTGAGAACAGGGCTAAAGTGGGTCTACTTCTCCTTCCTGTCGCTGTGATTCCTACAGCCAAGTACCCACAACAAAGTAAAGGACAAGCTGACCACAAGCAAGGTCATGGGGAAAAGCAGCTCTCTGGAGATGAAAATTGGTGGAGTAAAATTTCTTAATATAGTTCTTTTATTCATATTGCTGTAACTCCCACCCAATCATTGGGTGGGACTATACAACTAGGGCACATGTCACCGACCCCTGGCTGGGAGAATGAGCCCTCTCAGGCAGAGAGAGAAATCCCAGGACTGTCGAGAGAGGAGCATGTTCTAGCTCTGTCTGAAGTGGCAGAGCCTGACATCAGAGGCACCAGAGACTATCAAGGGAGCCAGGCCCAGCTCAGAGGCCGGAGCAAGGAAAACACGAGACAGAACAGAGAAGCAGTGTCGAGATACAGAACTGCGAGGTAGAGTGACAGCAGGGATCCTGGTCCACCGAGGCCAAGGCCATGGGACTACCTGGCTGAGCAGTTAAATACCAGAGAGCAACTTGGCTGCTGGCTGAGGAGAGGTGCTGCTGTGGGTTAATGATTGTATCCTTACTGTTTACTGATCCTGGATCTTGGTAAGCTGTCAATTCCCCCAGTGGACCTCCTTAATTGAGTGTTGTCTGTGAGTTCTGTGTGGCCACTGTAAGGAATTACTGAAGACGGCACAGAAGTAGAACATCGTGGGAGGAGTCCTTGGTGTCACATCAGAATAGGGACAGAAAGATGTAGAGAAGGTCGTTGTGTTAGGTCAGGTTGACTAGAGAAACGAACGCAGAGACACTCATATATGTGCAAGGGATCTTTAAATCAAGAAGCAATTATTTATCAAGAAAACATCCTAGCCCAGTCCAACTCAAGTCCATAGGTCCAGTAATAGTCCATAAGTCCCTCTTCAGACTCCCTTAGTCACACGCAATGATGGAGAATGCAGGAATTCAAATTTCTAATCTCCTAAACTATGAAAACGAATAAGTTTGTTTGGAAGACGTCAGTCTGGCCAACAGACTTGAGGCGATCCATATTTCTGCTCATTGCAAAGAAAGGCAACCAAAAAGAATGTGGAAACAATTGAACAATATTAAAATCATATGCAAATACATTTTTGCTGAAGATCATTAAAAGACACTTTCAGCAGGACACGGACACGGAGCTGCCAGAGATCCAAGCAGAATTCAGAAGAGGACGCAGAGCAAGGGACGACATGGAGAATGGGAATCTGAGAACACCCCACTGTGCGCACGTGGAACCTGGACACGGAGTAAGAGAATGTTTTAAAATTAGGGAAGGTGTGTGGGAGGGCTATATTCTTCAACATACTTGTTCAATCTGTACCCTGAGCCAATCCCTCGAGAAGCTAGACCATATAACCAAGAACATGGCATCAGGACCGGAGGAAGGGTCAAATAACAACTCACAACAATATGCAAATGATGTCATCGTGCATGTTGAAACTGAAGAGGATTTGAAGTGCTTACTGAGGATGATCAGTGACTACGAATGACCATTCAAATCCTCACAACTGGAACAAGGGACATGATGATAAATGGAGATAAGATTGAAATCGTCAAGGATTTCGTTTTACTTGGGTCCACAATTAACACCCATGGAAGCAGCTGTCAAAAAACCCCAAAAATCAAGCAATGGATTGTGTTGGGCAGATCTGTTCCGAAACACCTCTTCAACTTTTAAAAGCCAAGAAGAGTATAGAAAGCCTTACCTAAACCAAGTAGTTTCAATCGCCTCAGCTACATGTGAAAACTGCACAACGAATAAGCAAGACCACGAATAAGCAAGACCACGGTAGGACTAATGCGTTTAAATTAAAAGGTTGGCAAAGAATATTGAATCTTCCATGGGCTGCCAGAAGAACAAACAAATCTGTCTTGGAAGGAATACAGAATTCTGTCTTCTATGGAATCAGATGTTCCGTAGAAGGGAGGATGGTGAGACTTCAATCTCGTGCACTTTGGACACGTTATCAGGAGAGACCAGTCTCGGGGAAAGGATCCCATGCTTGGTAAATTAGAGGGGCAGCAAATAAAAAAGACGACCCTCCATGGGAAGCGGTGACACAGTGGGTGCAAAAATGCACCTAAACATAGCAATCATGAGGCTGGCACAAGACCAGGCAGTGTTTCGTGTCCTCTTGTACATAGGGTGGCTGAGTTAAAGTAGGCTTGACACCTAACCATAGTGAAAGTGTGCATTGCCTTGAAGAGGCAATGGTGCATTCTGGTGCGGGTTCATTAGAGGGAGAGGCGAGCTGTAACACCAGAGATGGTGCCGGTGGTGAAGGGCAGCAGCAGAGACAGAGTGGCAGCAGAACCAGGAGACTGGTGGTAAGTCGACCCACGGACCAAGAGAGCAGAGTGCCAGTAGGCAGACGGCTTCTCGTGGGAGTAGGGCGCCTCTAGGGACTTGTTGGCAGGTTTGCTGATCCATGGAGCAGGGCTTGAGCACCTTCACACTCTGGCTTACTGGCAGTGAGCTTCTGCCAGGCACTTATTAGTAGAACTGGGTAACACTTGCCCAAGCAAGACAAGAGGCTAGCCTGGCTCAAAAGGCAAGAGGAGCTGAAAGGTCAAGTAAGCGGGAAGCAGAGGTTGAAGGGATAGAAATTTAATAGTCAACCAGCCTCAGTCCCAAAGGGTCGGGTTTTGAAGTGTGGAGCCATGGTCCAATTTGAATCAGATCTTCAATAACGTGGGAGTGAGGGTCTATCATCACAAGTGCCAGGAGGATGGGGCCAGAGCTGCTGCTCAATAGTGGTTGGGCCTGTCAGGTCCGAAGGGGTGAGGGAGCAGAGTTGCTAACCAAGTGGGCCGGGAAGGCTGAACTGAGGGGACTCCACGTAGACACCAAAGATCTTGGTTGACACCCGGAATTTGGAGGCAGGGCCATTGACTCCATGGTCAGGCCAAGAGATGAAGGGATTATCTGTAAGCCTTGAGAGCTAAAGCAAATTGTTCTGCTGGGATTTCGACTGTCCTGGTGTCCATTATCCCTTCATACCCTCCAATTTCCCCATTTGTAATAGAAATGACACCTGTGCCAATGTCACATTGTATTTTTTGAAGCAATTAAGTTGCATTCTAGATTCACAGATGAGGAATTTTGATCTAGGATTGCTCTAGGATGAAATGTGGACTCTGGGGTTGACTTAGGACTTTGGAGATGATCTGATGGGGTTAAAGTGTTTCTCATGTGGCAACAACATGGATTTGAAAGGGTTAAAGGATGTAAGGTCATGGACTGAAATGTGCCAACTTGGCTGGGTCAGGATTCAGTTTGGCAGTTAAGCAATACTGTGATCATCCCCTATGGTGTGGTCTGGTGGGATCAATCAGTTGGAAGGGGATTACAGTGGGATACAAGCACCTTACTCTGGTCACAGCCCTGATCCAATGCAAGGGGAGCTTCCCTGGGGGGGTGTGACCTAAACCATCTTTTATCTTACAAGCAATTAAAAACAGATGACCAACTTCAGCAAGGGGCCCGTTGCTACCAAGAGAGAAAAACCACCAATAGCCAAGTGTGTACTTCTGACCCAGGGTCCCTGTGCTGGGAGCCTCCTAGACCCAGGTGAAGATTTATGCCAAGACATTTGTATATCTCCAAAGAATGCTGGGCCTACAGATATTGAAAGGAGACAAAGACTGTCCGGCAGCGCCCCCAGAAAGAAAAGGCCTTCCCTTAGAGCTGGCCCTCTGAACCCATCATTCTGACCTCAGGACGGTGAGGACACATGTGTTGAAGCCATTCACCTGTACTGCTGTGACAGCAGCACTAAACAACCATTCCAGACACCCAAATGACACTAGGATTTGTTTTTATTTATGTATATATATTTCATATAAAAGTTTTAGCTCATAAACTATGCCCCATATAAAATAATTTTAAAGATCCACGATAACATTTATTTACTGCTTTCAGCCTCGTTTACCCGTGATCATAAATCCTGCTGGTCTCAGGACCTGCTTTTGTTACCTTCTTAAAAGCTGATATAGAATATAACTAGCCCATAGGGACGGGTCAACTCCTAAGGACCGTAGGAGATCCAGTCTCAATGACCGCTGACCATGCTGACAGGCACCCAGCACCATAAGCATGCGAGTCCAAGGTTAACAAGGTTAATGAGAAAATAAGTTACGTGAATGACCTTCAGGTTATTCACCTGAAGTGAAAACCCCTTTCAGACAGGTAGAGATCTCAGTCCTAACACATGGCAGGTGCAGTGGCTGCATTCCTCCTCGGTGCTGGGTGGTCTCATTAATACCCAGCTTCTAGCCTCCACTCTCTGAAATGCTGGTCCATGGCACCCCTGCTTCTCCAGGTGCCAACATTGACGGTTGGGATGATTTTCTTGGGTTTCAGCCACTGGACAAAGCGCTTCATTTCAAGGTAGCTGCTGTGCTCACTGTAAGGGATTCCTGTAACACAGAAGGCAGGCTGCTTATGACACGCATTTCCAGAGGGTCCTGTGCATTACACTCTTCCTTCTTCTCCCCGTCGGGCACTCTGCTCACCCAGGGCTCTCAGGAAAATCACTGGGAGAGAGAAGAGCATGGTGTGGGGAGTGGAGAGCAGGCGGGTCTTGGTTCCCGGCGACACTAGGCATACTCCACCCAAAGCAAGAGTTACGTTCACAAAAACACGCAGAAAGGAAAGAGAGCCGACCTCCTCTGCTTCATCGTCACCGAAAGTCACGTTTTCGTAAAGAAAGGGAAGCAGGGTCCTCAGAGGCTAACAGGAAGTCACTGGTCTAGTGACAGCTCAGAAATGTGTCACCGAGTCACCACTGTAAAAAAGCTGTTAAGCTAACATCTGCAGGCGGTGGTAAACCTTGCCTGAGATGAAAAAATTACCCCCGTCTGTCTCTTTTGCCCTTAACCACATCAAACTCGGCCTCTTCCGGCTCTCTGTCTTAAAGTCGTCTAGACTTTCCCTACGCAACCGCAGGGGCCTCTTCCAAGCCCCCTACCACTGCCTTGATATGTCACTAATCACACAGATGAATGATCTGCACTAGCCAGTGTTTGCGACAGCCGAGCGCCCTTCACAAGTTACGACGTTTTGAAAGTTGAGTCTGTAGGGACTTAACCGCTTCAACTGCTAAAGGGTCTCTAGTGCCTCTTTTCCCTGAATCTTTTAAATCTCCAGGCTCTGAAACAAAATGAAATGGCACACAGGAAGAAGGAGAGAAGTTCATAATGATACCATATATCGAAATGTTTCCTCTGGTCTGGGGAGCGATATCTGCTGTCCTGGTAAGCTTGTTGGAATGTGTCCATCCTGTGGGTCGGAAGGCCAAGATCTGATTGTATTTCCCACCACACGCCTTCAAATGTTTCTGTAAGCCCTAGGGGATGAAAATAGCATCTTGATTGAAGGGTTAAAGGACCGGGGCTCTGTGGATGCAGAGAGTGACTAGTGATTTTACACTGGCACAGCCATGGGGAATTCTTACTTGAGCAGTGAAACCACCTAGTGCTATGTTTCTGAAGGAAATAAAATCATTGAAGGAGAAAAAACCCCAAAACGTGTCCCCTTTGTTCACCTGAAACTAAACGAGCTTAAGACTCGCCTGATGAAGTAGGGGAAGTGCTTTTAAACTTACACAGTTATATATGAGTAAGTCCGCCCCCCAAAGCAGGCTTCCTGCCATCGCGTCCACCTCGCCTTGCAGCGACCCCAGAGGAGGGCGCAGACAGGCAGATGGGTTTCCGAGACTGAGAGAGTTTACGGGAGGAGAAAGCCTCCTCTTTCTCCCGGCGAATAACGTCGACATTTACAAATAAAGCAAATGATCTCCAAATCCCACTACACGGAAACACGGACATTACATGGATAAGTATGCAGGCCTCTCTAGCGACAGACTAAGCCAGACACCTTTCTAAAAGCGGCAGGACACACGATGCAGGCATACATTCTAAGATGCCAGGGAACATGCTTCTCAGGTGTGCACCCCTCCCCGTCTTTTGAAGACACATTAGTGGGGTTACACACTTCTCACACTGCGGTCACTGGAAGCAGTGTGCTTTCCTTCAGCGCTCCTGTGCACAAGAGAACTGCCCTAAAGTCCTCATCAACGGAGACATTTGATAAACTGCTCGTAGAAACCCACTGGCCACACCGCTGGGAGGTAACGGGAAATCCAGTGACTAATGGGATGAGGGATACACACAGTCATCGCACCTGTGGTCCTTAAGACGAAAACCTGGAGTTTAGTGCAAATTTACAATAAAGTTATATTTTAAAAATAATAAAAAAGCAAAACTATGCTGTGTCTCCAGGAGCTTTCCAAAATGCCATTTTCTTCCATAATCATACATACTTTGAACTATGTACATTCTAAGAGATGCTGGCATATAATCCTAACATTGCATCAGATTGACCTTTCGGCAACATTATTAGGGCTTTTAATAGGGAGTCCTGGTGGTTACGTGGTGGGCTGCTGTGTGCACAACTACTAACAGCTCCTCCTGAGAAAGACTGGCTTTCTACTCCCGTAAACCGTGTCGTCTTGGAAATGCACAGGGGTCACTGTGAGTCAGCACTGACTCGGGGGAAGCGGGAGCTTTCAGTCGAAACTCCTACACGTGGACTTGCTGAATCCAAAGGCTTACCCCGGATTTGCACTATTTTCAAAGCGTAACACATGCCCCAGTAGGGGTTCTCATCAGAGATGGAGCACTTTTAAGAGGCCTGAAGTTTGGTAGAAAACATCCCGTCGCAATTTTCTTTTTCTAACTGAAGACTAGTGTGAGATTGAATATTTTTCCTGTTCATGAAAAATCTACCTTTCTTTCAGAAAGAGGAAATAAGTTCCTTGATTCCTCTTTCGTACCAAATGTTTTATTAATTTGAAGTCAGCAAAGAAACAGCTACCAAAAAATCATATTTCTGGCCAACTACTGGGCCCCAGCCCCACTGCCCCGCCTGCACACAAGGTTGAAACACTGTTAGATAACTAACTTTCCATGAAGTGACCTGGTTTTCTAGTTTGGGTCTTGGTTCGTTTAGGATCTAGCTCAAATAACGTTATCTACTTATGCACTAAGCCTCCTTTTTTTGGCCCCCCTCCCTCCAAACAGAAGAGGGGACCTGAGGTTTGGAGCAATTGCACACGTCACCCCTATTCATGCCCACTTGTCTCTGCAAACACTCGGGAGGGCTGAGAGCGAGATTTCTGCTTGGCAAGAGTCAAATTAGAGTTAATACCAAAATATCATTCACCTGCCCCCAAACCCAACCCAGGACACAGTCCTTCCTGTAAGCCAAGCCCAGGGAGAAGTCTGAAAGCGACTGCTAACGGCCCACCAACCACCTCGGGAGAACGACTCGGTGAAGAGTTTATGCAAAGTCATTTAGTTGACACCAAATCCCCGATCAATGAATCCTCTGTGACTGATAATGAATTTGTGAGAAAAATGCTTTCGTATTCCCCATATGCCAACGAATCACCGACAGCAAGATGGCTACAATGTTTTACGACATCCCCTCTGGCAGGGTTCCGTCAGGAGGGAGTCAGCTATACTCGTACAGGATGTTGATGAACTCAAGTTGGGCCAGCTAGCGTGAATGGTACACTCATTATTTCAGAGGCTTTCGAGCATCCTGTGGAAACTACAAAAAGTGCATTTGGTTTACATTGTCACAGAAAGTCATTCGCTTTGATCCAATGGAACTATTTTGGGTTGCTAACGGCTTGGTTGTAATTACTCACTAAGATACAGCCTGATGGTAACCCCCAGCGTCTGCTCCGTCTGTGTTTTGAAGATCAGGAAGCTTCAAGAATGCCATTAGTACCTGATCACCGGGATGGAGGAAAAGGGAAGGGCTCGTGACTGACAACCCATCAGGAAAACAAGCTTAATGACTCGGGGTCCTTGCTGCTTCAAGGGCAGGGTCTCCAAAACAAGACCCAACAAAGGGCTGAGAAGGGACATTTCTTGGTGTCATTAAACCCCACTCAAATTCCTGTATGGCAAAAACACGGTACTCCAGTTTATAAGCTGCTTGATGATTTAATTCTTGTACGAGGTCGTATTGGTTAATACACAACCCTTAAAAGACAATGCACAATACAAAAAAGAAACAAAGTCTACAAGGGATGTAGGTCGGAGGAGACTGTTAGAGGAAGAGGCGTCTCTCTTCCTGCTTACTGTTCCAGACCCTGCTCAGCTGCTTCATTTATTCCCGATCCCCACGCATCTTCATTCCCCGGCCTGCCCTTGCAAAGCCCAATCTTGTACTTTAAAACACACAAAGCCTCTCCTGTGTGTCTCTCTCCGGTCAGCAACGCACCTGGCTCTTCTGCATAGCCATGCGCTATGCTTCTCCGCTGCCTCACCTCACACTCGATCTCTTTTTCTTTTCTTGGCTACAAAAGCTGTTTTAGTTTTGGTTTAGTTAAGTGTGGAACTCCGTGGTTTTTAGTATGTTCACAAAATTGGGTTTCTGCTAGGTCCAGAACATTTTCATCCCCCAAAAGAAATGCTGTGCCGGTTAGCAGTCACTCCCCATGCTCTCTTCCTCCCACCACCAGCAGCCACTTACCTGCTTCCTGTCTAAAGGGACAGACTTATTCTAGTCCGTTCATGTCAGTGGGATCATCCGTATGAAATGTGGCCTTTGGGTCTGGCTTCTTCCACGTCGCACGTTTCCAAGGCTCATCCATGGGGTAGAAGTATCGATGCCGCATTCCTTCCCAAGGGCGGACTCTATTCCATTGCATGGACATACCACGTTTTGCTTATCCATTCATTGGGTATTTGGGGTTGTGTGTGCTTTTGGGGTAATAATGTTGCTACGAGCATGCATGTACACGTTTTTGCTTTCATTTCTTTTTGGCATGTGCCTAGGAGTGGGCGGCTGGGTCATATAGTCACTCGATTATGTTTAACGTTTTGAGGAGATGCTGAACCGTATCCGGAACTGCTGTACCGTTTTACAACCCCACCAGCCAGGAGCAAGGGTCCCAGCTGCTCCATAGCCTCGCCTTGCTGTTGCCTATCCTTTCGATTACTGCCGTCCTCTGGAACACTTACCTTAAAGGTAATTTGCATCATTGGTAAAAGGTGAACCAAGGCACCACACATGTCTGTTGTAATGAGGGAATCCATATCGGGGATGTTGAGACACCGTAAGGTTGTATACTTTTCTTGCGACATGGCAACTTTTGAACCCAAAACATCAGCAATGGCTGCAGGCAGAGGAAAAGATTAAAAAGAGTAAAATTGTAGAGTATGGAGGAAAAGCAATGAAGTGACAACATATAAAACAGTCATACTGGATAACATTTCAGGAAGGCTGAATAATTCTGTTGGCAAACCGCGTGGAATAAATTGTGAGAATGGCAGAGTTTATGTTCTCAGGGCCTGCTATTTAAAACCTGTAAAAGAGACGGGGAAAGGAGTAGAACAAGGGAAGTACCAATTTGGAGGAGCAAAAACTCTGGCTTTACCACTTTGGATCTTAATGTTCGACATTTATAATCCTGAAGACGAAGTGTGGCTGCGTGTACCATTGTCACATGACTCCAACTGAGAGCAACCCTCCAGGACAGAGGAGACTGCCCCAGGCCCTCTGAGGCTGCAGTCTGTCCTGGGGCAGCATGCACGGTCTGTGCTCCGGCAGTCCCTGGTGGGTTCAAACCACCCAGCCTTCAGTGTGCAGCCGACCACCAACCATTGCACCACTAGGGCTCCTTAAGAGGGTTTCAGAAGCAAGAAGGAAAGCATTTTGCAAAAGAGTACCACCACCACCTAAACAAATTACAGTGAACCCTCGCCACTTCGCGCTTCGACTTCCGCGGCTTCAATCTATCGCGGTTTTTGCCCAACAGCGCATGCTCTGTCATTACTACCACTGATTGGCTCATACTGTACACGCTTCTGTCTGCATCGCTACGTATCGGAGCTACGTATCAGATGCATTTTTGCTTTTTACAGTGTACTGTAATTGTTTGCGATTTTTAAGAAATTTTATCTACGCCCTATGATGGCTCCTAAACGAGCTGCTTCTTCTAAGCCTTCTGACAATAAAAATAAGCGCCAGAGGAAGATGCTCACCATCCAGGAAAAGGTAAAACTTTTGGATATGATCAAAGATGGCAAGAAAATCGTGGAGGTCGCACGCCATTTCGACTTGAATGAGTCTTCCGTTCACTCCATCCGTTGTACTTCATAATATAATAAGTAATAAATGATCATTGTAACGTCCAAAATGTTTTACTGCATTTTCCCCTTTTCGTTTAATAAATTGGGTAATACGAGTGTAATGGTGACTAAAGGGTGTTTTTTCATGTCCTCTATGCTCTAACTACGAAAATATTTGATTTACAAATAAGGAATCCTACTTCGCGGAATTTCATTTATCACGGTAGGGTCTAGAACCGATTAACCGCGATAAACGAGGGTTCACTGTATACGCTTCTAGAAATCAATAAGAAACAGTTATGACCATCTTCTAAAATAATTACCTGATGGCCAACCTCAAAGAACACAGCAACACACTATGCATGACTCATCTTTCATAGTCCAATAAAATACTACTGTGTGAATGCTTGCTCTGTAAGCAGCTCATAAAGATAAAGTCACCGTAAGCACACTCATCAAACGTCTGCACGCATCAAACTCTCCTAAAATGTCCTTTGACTTCAAAGACGATATTGAGTCATTTCAGGAAATATCAATTGCAAGATGAGAGGCTCTTTGCATAGAGAGGCATTCTATGCAAAGAGAATGCGATCTTTAGAATATATTCATGTACATTAGATACGGCTACCACTCACCAAGGAAGACTTTCTCTTTTCCAATAGAGTAGGTGCCACAGACAACAAGGACCCGCGGGTTTAGCGTTACAGCCTCAAAGGCAGTGTTGATGGCAAACTGGATGACCTCTTGCTGCGATGGGAAGGAGTATTCCGGGCTGCAGTACCTGTAACGAAGAGGCGAGCCTGACTAAAGGGAGCAGTGAGAAAGCCGTGAAAGCACTAAGTTGGATGCTATTTTAGGAAATACACTTCTAACAAAAGTATACACACAGCAGTAGAATACATGAGAAGGCTTCCGAACGTTTGGAGTTATGGAAAAATGGAACTAGGAGATAATGGAATTTTTCCATTAACTTTTCAAAGCCCTTAATATTAACAGCACTAGAGTTGACTTATGCCTTGTGGCTAAAATATGTGTTACAGCTAGTGATCATTTATGATGAAATTTAATGTTTTCATTATACGTCTTTCATTAAACCTCTTCTAGTGCCTTTCTATACTAAATTTTTTGGAAAATACTTTTCCTTCAAAGAATACTTTCAGTCATTCAACTATTTTAAAAATGACCTTATCCAATGCCAATGTGCTGGGTTTTTTTTTAAAAAAAAAACCACACTAATCCCTATCATTATCAAAGAAAATATCACTGACAGGATTGCATTTGGACTGAAGAATTCTGCTTAAATGATTGCAAAAATGAAATAAAATGTGAACTAAATGAAGTAGTTTCATATCATACAGCTAATTTTCACATGGCTGCTAGCTGCTAAGAGAAAACATTTTTACATTGACATGTTAAGAATACAGCAGACTCATCTCAAGCAACAACACCCAGTGGAAAAAAATCACCGGAAGAGCACGAATGATCTCTCTACTGTATGAGGAGACGGCAGACATGTCTGTAGAAAAACTGTACCGCCTTTTAATTCCATTGCTCCATAAACTTCAGAAGACGTCTTGAACATTTAATGACAAAAATGATGCCATATTTCACTAAGAAGTCATAAAATAGAGTATGCCAAGCATTTTCAAAAGTATTTTGGGGGGAAATGGGGCACTAATAACGAGTATGAGAAAGAATAAAACATTCTAATTAGTGATGACTGCGCACCTCTCCTTACCATGCTGACACTACTGACTTGTATGATGTGTCAATAAAACTGTGAACTTTTAAAAACTGGTCTGTGTTGGTAAACAGTCAAAAAGGAAAGAAAACAAAGTATCTGTTCTTCATAAACATCCACTGAGAAATGTAGACGCCTAGGCCGAATAAAACTAAGCAACAATTTTTTTACTTCTTTTCTCAATTTATCGCAAATTTTATTTAAGAGTGGAAAAGAGAACCGTAGAATCGGAAAACTGGATGTGGAAAGATCGCACACTTTTCCTTCAAACAGTTACCATAATTTCTACCCTGATGACAGGCTTTGAAATCAAATGAAAACATACCAGCAGATGGCTTTACATCTACTGTTTGTTGCTAGGTGCCATCGAGTGGCACCCACTCCTAGTGGCCTGGCGTGCAGCAGATGGAAACCCTGCCCGGGCTGCACCGTCCTCACAAGCAGTGGTTGCGAGCCCACTGTAGCAGCCCCTGGGGCCATCTCCCAAGTCTTCCTCTTTCCCTGCCCCTCTGCCCTGCCAGGCATGAGCTCCCTTTGTCACGTACAAAGTGCCTTTTTGAGAGAAGAACAAATGTAGCTTTGAATTCTCAGAAACAGAAACACACATGGTTTGTTTTCTTTTCATAATTATGCTTATGAGTTACATAGCTATTTCCTGAGTCTTGGTCCAAATTTCTTCTTCACCTCAGTACCAAGATTCTCAGAGAAAAATTACCAAGAAAATTCAGCTGCATCAGTGAAGATCTGTAATTCCAAAAGGCCTGTAAGCAAGGCCTTTTTAACACAGCCTCCCTCTGATCGATGGCCTTAAAACGGTAATTTGCAATAAGGCATCGTTTTGACGACCCAAGCAAACACCCAGAGCCCCCTGATGATTCATAATTTAAAGAGCCAACACTGGGCGTGGGAAAAGGCACACACACACACACACACAGCCTCTCTTACGTTGTGTCCAAGTACAGCGTGTGGACTCTCAGGCCGGCAAGAAGAGAACGCTCCATGGTGGGGTCGGCTCTGAAGTCTCCGGTGTGCAGAGTGACCGTCCCGTTGGGAAGATAAAAAAGGATCATGACAGCACCTGGGCAGCTGAACACAAACATTCTAAGAAACGGTCTTCACACACACAGCACCCGCGGGACAAATACAGCTGCTTCACTATCGCCAACGGGACACCCGGCATTAGCTGACCACAGTGACAAGGCATCACACTGTGGAGGGGACACGGTACCCCACCTGAAGGCAGCTTTCATCAATGAACAAATGGGGCGTAGCAGGAAAAGCAGCCGGCAGGCCTCAGTTGCTCAAAGCTATACGGTCCCTAGAAAGGCTTGTCATTAGGTCGGGACTGGCTCTTGGGAGTTGACCTGAGCCTTTGGGATGTTCTGCCGGCTAGACGTGCCTGGCCATGCCTGAGGTCATGGGCCACGTGGCTCCATCAACTTCACCTTTGGTGATCTGGAGTCTGAGCAGCTCAGCTCCAGGCCTATGAAAGGAGCCCCTGTAAAAACCCGAGAGACTGAGGTTTGGCTGAGCCTTCTCAGTTAGTACCACTCTGCATGTGTGGTCACACCTCATTGTTGGGAGGACTGGGCAGGTGTTGGTCTCAGGTAGGCGCCCTGGCTGTGTAGTGAGTTACACAGGGGGCTGCTAAGCACGAGACTGGCATGACAGGGGTCAAACCCACCAGTCCCTCCTGAAAGATGAGGCTGGCTGTTCCTGAAAGATTTCTAGCCTCAGACGCCCTAAGGATCAATTCTACTATGCCCTATAGTGTCCTATAAGATGGCTATGAGAAAGGTGGGGCTTGGGTTTAGTATTAAAATCCTGACGGATTTATCTCAAAGGAAAAACAAGCCAACAAATAAACCCTCTAACTTCTATATGGATTATAGGCTGCTCATTTATGTAAATGATATTATCTTAAGATATGATATTATCTTATGATATTATCATAAGACAACAGAAGGTTATCTTATGAAGCCTAGGAGCAAAACCATGCTAAAGTATTTTGCTTTTTGTTTTGTTTTTGTAAGTGGGTCTCATGTCAAGCCAAGTAACCTACACTGGATACAAAGATTAAATGAGTTAATATTCAGAGGTGGCCTCTCCATTTAATCTGTCATTAAAAGAAAAATAAACAAAAAAACAAAACAAAAACAACTCACTGCCACCAAGTCGACCCCAACTCATAGCGACGCTATAGACAGGACAAGGTAGAACGGCCCCTGGGGGTTTCTGAGCCGTAACTCTTCATGGAGGAGAAAGCTTTCCTCTCTCGCTGCCGTCCTTGGTTCCCTCATGTATCCTGAGACACATCCTCTGCTTAAGTCACAAGGAGAGCCGAAGCACATCACAAAACCCAAAAGCCAAGCTCCCTGCCATCGAGTCCATGGCGACTCACAGTGACCCTACAGGACAGGGTAGAACTGCCCCTGTGACTTTCTGAGCCTGCAACTCTTTATGGGAGTAGAACCCCCCATCTTTCTCCCTCAGAGCGACCGGTGGTTTAGAACTAGAGACCTTGCGGATTGCAGCCCAACTCATAACCACGACGCGACCAGGACTCCGAAGCACCCTTATCATTAAGTAAGAATTTAAGTAAATATGCATTTCCCCCCCCCTTTGGAGGATTTTAAAAGCACAAGCCATTACTAAGGTAACTCTGACACTTACTGATTGGCGTCAAGCAAAACAACTTTAACACCATTCACTATACATTCCGTGTCCATTGGCAATGGATGGATGTATTGTTCTTGCACATGAAGCTTGCTCTTCAGCAGATTGCCGGTTATCTACAAACAGGATACATGGTCACAGTGAAACACTAAAGGGATACTTTCACCTCATCTCTGGTTTAGAGTCCAAAGCCTCTTCATAGTCTCCTCCTTCTGTTAGATTCAAGTACATCTTCCAAAACGTTAGGCTGGTAATCTTCGTAATATGACTGTATCACTACTCTGCTTAAAAACCCTCATGGATTCGCCCTTCCGTCGTGAGCCCATCACCCCCAGTCTGACACCCTACGTCCACTGTGATCTGGCCCCTGCCCACTCCTCCTCTGCTAAACTGCCCAAAGTCTCTGAAATGTCTGCAACAGGCAGGTGTACTTCTTAGATGTCTATGCCTCCGCACAATCTCTACTGTCTACCTGGAGTGTCCTCTCCTCCTTCCTCTGCAGCTTCTGGAATCAGGACATGCGTTCATATCCTGGCTCTGTCCTTCTGTGGCCTGGGACATGCCACTTAACCTCTTCAAACTTCAGTTGCTTCATTAGTAAAGCAACATGAGTTAGCTCCACAGTGTCTCCACGATGAAATCAAATTCTAGCGAAAGGCCCTCAAATGCTCACATTTAATGCTCTGTGCAAGGTTTCCCCAAGAAACTGCCTTTAATCTTAGCCCTGGACAGAGAGGAAGGAGCTCCTTCCTCCCTTCCCCAGGCATTCTAATTGTTTTACCATCGCAGTTCCATTGTGGAGTTGTTTGGGGATCTGCTTCCCCTGGAAGCTGAATGAAAGGACTTCAAAAAGCTCTTGGAAAAATGGAGTGAAAAAGATCAAGGCATTTTCCCACAAACTGTCTAATGCTCCTCCGTGTCCTGCTGGGAGCTGGATCTTTTGCCCCGTTTATCTTCTTAGGCGCCCAGTCAATGTCTGCTGAATGAACCTTGCATCTCATGAGCAGTTATTCTGCTATTTCCACATTAAAAAAAAAAACATGCTTGCTTTAAAAAAATCAATTATAATTGGTGACATGAACTCTTTTAATAATAGAGCCTCAGTTTGTTATGTTTCCTGATAACATTTCTAATAGAATGCTAGATCTTACAATTATATTGTTTTTCAAATAAGTTACTTAAGAATGCTTTGAAGTCTCCAAATTCAGAGTTTCTGATAGGAAAACTTACCTGACTACAGTACACGGGAGCAGTGAATTTTCTAGACAAGCCGGAATAATGATCTGAATGGAAATGTGTGAGGAAGTAGGCGGTGCAGCCTTCAATCAATCCATACTGAAAGGCATCTACCGTAAAGCCAGTTCCTGTAGCGGAAAGACAAACTTGGCAAGTGAGCTTACAGAGCAGAGGCGTTCCATTTATTGTACAGCGTGAGCCTGCTAACCCTCCTGTGCTTCCTTCCCAACTTACATTTCTAACACAGGGAAAACTACCGGGCACCATCAGCTCTCTTCACATTTGCCTGTGCACCCGCTTTGTCTTCAGCGATCGTGTCGGGAAGGTGAGCATCAGGGAAGGCCAGTTTAATAGAACAAAGTGTTCTTGCACTGAGGGAATACTTGAGTGGAGGCGCAATGTCCATCTGCTACCTTAATACTAAACGTATAAATATATACACATAGATCTATTTCCCCATCATCATATATATATTTACATATGTACATGCCTGTATTTAGACCTCTATAAATGCCCTTTGTCTCCTAGTTCTTTCCTCTATTTCCTTTTCCTTTCCTCTTGTCCCATTATCATGTTCAGCTTTCATTGGGGTTTCAGTAATTCCTCTCAGTTACATTGCCCTTGATCAAGCCCTACCAGGCCTCCTGCACCCTCCTTGCCACCGAATTTGGATCACTTGTTCCCTTGTCTTTGGGTTTGTTAATACCCATTTCCTACACCACCACCCTCCTCCAACCATCTGTCCCATTGTTTTCTCCTCCAGATTGTTTATCCTGCCTATCTTATCTAGATAGACCTGCAGGGATAAGAATATGCACAGAAACAAGACAGAGCAAAACAAAGCAACAAAAGAAAACAAAACAACAAAAAGCCAATGACGAAAAAGAAAGGCCTGTAAATAGTTCAAGGCCTGTTTGTTGACCTTTAGGAGTGTTTTCTGGCCCCAAAGGCTATTGGTATTCCCTAGGGACTTCCTTGCTCTGCTCCCCTTGCTGTTCTGTTGCACGCCCTTCAGACTGAATCTTCATGGGCGCAGCCAGCCTCCCCTCTCTCTCACAAAGTGGCCGGTGGGTTTGAACCTGGTCCTTAGCAGCCCAGTGCTTAGTCCATGGTGCCACAAGGGCTCCTTGCCATGATGCTTCCCCTCTGAAGTGCTTGCTTCTGCAATCACTAGCAAAAGGACGATGCAAACCAAAGTATGAATTCTCCACGGGGTTGATGCAAATAGAAAGCAGAGGGTTGAGGGTCAAAACAATTGTATATTACAATGGTTTGTGGCCCACCCAAAAAAAGGCCTCAGTACACTAAGAAACTGTCTATCTGTAGTACTATTTTCTTTCCTTTTTAATTTCATGGGGGTGGGGAGGAGAGGGAGAGGAATAAAGTGCTCAACACTGGCTCCTTGGAGAAACAACTGTAACGAATGTTGATAGGCAGTGTTCTATAGATGGAGCCCTGGGAGCCTAGCAGTCATATTTGGGCAGCAGTTTGAAACTACCAGCTACTCTTTGGGAGAAAAATGAGGCTTTCTACTCCTGAAAAAAGCTACAGTCTCAGAAAGCCATAGGGGTCGTTCTACGCGGTCCTATAAGGCTGCTACGAGGTAGCACTGACTCGATGGCAGTGAGAAACGTGTTTCTGACACGAACTAGGCACGTTCCGATAATTCCACAGAGGCTTACGGACATGTGTTAGGCCAGGGCTGGGCTCCCTTAACAAACATCAATCACGGCCGTCAAAATCACCATCAAAACCAGAACTGGCATTTGTTGTTGCGTCTGAATTCTCTTTTCTAGAGAAACATTTTGAATAGACCTGGAACATCAGTAAGCCTTTTTACGAATCTTTCTGAAGCCGAATGTTTTGACTCTTTTGTCTGAAATACTTTTCAGAAGAGTTATTGGCTCCTTCAAAAACACAATGTATGTCATCGAGTATCTTTTCTACTAAGTCACCCAAGAAATTATAAGAATTTGAAAAAGAGCCGAAAAACCTTGTTCTCATGTGGCCTTCAAAGGCTTGGCGTTACGGGCGGTACAACCTGCGGCTTTCCCTCGGCGAAGCTTCTTCAGTTTGTGCATCTCACAAGCGCACCAGGGATGCCTCTTATCCCAGTTGCTAAGTGTGGTGCTCTCTCTTTTCATATTATGCTGGACTTGCCCACTCTTACTAATCTTGGCGTGATTTTTAATATCCGCCTAAGGAGTGCCTTATATGGGGAGCATGCTTAATAGAAGTTTGAATTGAATGGAACAAAAGACACACTAGGGGGGTTGGAAGAATGTGTTAGAGGCCCATGGAGTACAACCCCCGCCCCCCCCACACAACCCGGACCAGGAGCATGAAGAAGAGCAAAGTTGTGGGTTCTTGTAAATGCATGAGGCACTGACCGGTCCACTTACCAGGAATCTGCTTATAGAAGGGACACTGCCTTTTCCGTAGTCCTTCTGCATTAGGGAACTCTGGGGCTGCAGAGGGCCGCCCGGGCAGCCCGCCGCCAGCGGCTCTTCTGAAGCCGCGGCCTTTATTGACGTTGACCGGCCCAGACTCTGTCTTGCGGATGTGTTCTGACTCCCCAGACGCTCCTTCTGGCAGTGCACTTGACTTCCTACGCCTCTTTCGTTGACGTTGTGCTCCTTGACTAGAAAGCTCCACAGGGAGCTGACGCTCTGTTCTGCTCTTTGCATCAGGTTCTGCCTCGCTTAAAGAGGTCTCTGCTTTCCACTTGCACCGCATGGCCTTCTTCTCCTTAGGGCTCACAGCTGGATTGGATGGAGGCTTCCTCTCCTTAGGACTCACAGCTGGATTGGACCAAGCCCTCTTTTCCTTAGGACTCACAGCTGGATTGGATCGAGCCTTCCTCTCCTTAGGACTCACAGCTGGATTGGACCAAGCCTTCTTGTCCTTAGGACTCACAGCTCGATTGGAGTTGGCCCCTTTCAATGGGCTTTCCTCCGGCAATTTCTCTTCTTTCCTCTTGGGTGGCAGTCCAAAGTACACACCTATGTCCATTTGTTTCATTGCCTTGTTAGAATGCCTTGTATTGCCCTCGGGAGCAGATGGCCCTGTTTTCCCGGGCGTAGCAGCGGGAGGCGTGCTAGGAAAAGGCTCCGAGTTCAAGCCCGAAATGTTACTCTCCAGCACACCACAGAAACGGAGACTTGAACAATTGGTGGCATAACCATCCTGACCTGGTAATTCTACGGTGTTACTTTGGCTTAGACGGAAAGGAAGATGCCTTTCTCCCTGGGTTGTAAAGGGGGTTAACACTTGAGTTTCGAGTAACGGAAGAGAAACTTGACGGTGAACAGCTGATTTTCCAGCGGCCTGCTTCCGGTCCTTTGCTCGAGGGAAGGGGGCCTCCTGGGCGGCAGCCCCGGCTGACGCAGGGGTGAACATCATAAAGCAGTCCCCCATGTCGGCCGGCCGGTCACAGGACACGGCCCTCTCACCGTCTTGGGAAAGCAGCTGAGAGAGATGGGCCAGGGTGTGGTATTTATCCAGGTCTTCCTCGTCCTGGGACTGGCTGAAGAGGCGGCTCTCTTGCAGGCGCTGCAGCGAGGCTCCGCGGAGGTCGCTGAACAAAGATCGATGGCGCTCGTCTGGGCCGCCAGCTTTGGAGCTTTCCATGGAAAATAGGTCCTGCTGTGAACCCTCTAGCTCTTCGTCACTCTGAAGTGGCGAGTAGGAGATTTCACAGTTGCTTGTGTCATGTTCTGGCCGTGGCAGGTGGAGGGGCGGGGGGCTGTCCGAGACTTCGACGGCCAGAGGCAAAGCCACTCCCGGCAGTTTGTCCTGAGGAACACCCCCGGAAAATGTCAGAGCTCGCTGGGCCTTTGTAGAAACGGGAACCTTCTGGCTGGCTTGCGTGGCACTCTGAGATTTTGCTCGACCCTGTGTCCCCAAAGAGGTTTCACCTGGAATGTTCTCAAAGTTCTCAATTCCTTTCTCCTTTGGGGGCCCTCTTTTCGAAAGGCTGCCGAGGAAGCCCAAGGTCGTCTCGCTGGAGCAAGTAAACACGCCAGGCGCTGTGGGTGGTGGGCTGCTCAGAGAGCCACTGCCTGCCCGGGTCTGGGCCAGCAGGAAGTGAGTGTATCTCTTGTAATGGGCGGGAATTGTGGAGGTACACAGAAGGCCATCAGGACACTCTGAAACGTGTAATAAAGAGAGAAAGTATTCAGAGGAGCCAAGCTCTGACAGCGTGAGCCCTTCAAGCTGACCTGCGGTGGGGCAGCATGAGTCCTCCTCGCTGGTGCCTCATGAGCTACGCTCAACTTCGGGAATCAAAAGACAAACGTGTAATGTCCACACTGAATCCAGTATGGTTTTGCACGGCGGTAGTTCTTAAACTTGAAACACACATAATCTGTTCTCAACAGTAACATTTTAGGGCTCAAACCTTTCCCATAGCTCCTCTTTCCTAGGTTACACTCCCCACCCCCCCACCCCGGTTGGTTCCTCTAAAAAAGGACCTTCACCCCTGGCATAGGTATGCAGAACACTTTCCAAGCAAGTGCTACCGACTGACCCCGTCCCTTGCACGAGGTCAGCGCTGCTCAGGCAATAACTGAGTAAAGACTGGTACAAAACCCCCAACTGCGGTTTCCTCTTAACACTACTAAATTTGAACTTAAGGAACCAAGATTTAAGATCCCTGTCTTATTCAATTAGGCTTCATTCTGTCAATATTTAAACTGTACAACTGTAAATGTTACAAATCCTAACCACCAGATCCATCATCTTTACAACTGTTCACACATGGACCCTTTGTGACGCTACAATTTGAAATGCAATGGGCTAGGCTAGCTAATCAGCCTGTTCCTGTTAAGTTGGTTGGGACTCATAGCAAGCCCCGTGTTACAGACCGGAAGCGCTCCAGCGGGTTTAGGGAAACAGGGTTTAGCCAACAGCTTTAGGGAAACAGGGAGCTGGGCCTTTTTTGTCTGCAGTGCAACTGTGTGGGCTGGAACCACCACCTTTCAGGGAGTAGGCAAATATACACTGTGTCACCCAAGGGACCTGCGCTGGTTAATAGAAAAGCTTCAGTAATCTAGACATCATTCTCCATCATATTGTGCTGGAGAATCATTCTGTAAATCACCGTGACAGATCTCCACGTGTTAATGACCAGGTTATTATTTTTTTAATGATCCAAAAGAAAAGCTGTCGTGTAAAATGAGAAGATGTCGGTGCTTAAATCTGGACATAAAGTTGCCTCCTAAAGTATTTGTGGCAGCGAGGGTCCACCCGATACAAGATCTCTGGGAGCTGACTTTACCGATGAGGGCTTTCGTCTGAGGTGCTCACCACAGGGCTCCAACTTCCATGCCTGATAGTCAAGCAACTTAAAAGCAAACTCACTCGCCTTTGATAAGGCTATTGGTGGCTACATTTTTCTAGAAATAGCTAATTACTGCCAAGTGTTGGAAAATACAGAGTTCTTCTGTATCTTCACGTAGTAATGGAAGTGGATAACTAGAAGTTAATAACATATTTTCAGAACCATCATTAACATGAAAGCACCCCCAAAATTATTTTCATTTTACTGAGCTCTGATTCTTCAACCGTCTATGTACGGCATGCAGGTCTACCTCATTTTACTGCACTGTTTCACTGTACTTTGCAGATACTGCATCGTATTTTACGAATTGCAGATTTGTGGCAACCCTGTGGGTACCATGTTCCTAACAGCACGTGCTCACTTCATGTCTCTGGGTCATACTTTAGTCATTCTCACAATACTGAAGATCCTTTCAAAATGTTAGTGCACACAATACACTACAGTACAGCGTAAACATATGTGCATTGTGAATCAAAAACTTCATGTCACTCACTTTATTGTGGTATTTATTTTATGGTAGCAGTCTGGATCGAAACTTACATATAGTATGTCCCTACCAGACTCATGGCAACCCTATAGGACAGGGTAAAACTGCCCCTGAGAATTTCCAAGACTGTCACTCTTTACAGAAGTAGAAAGCCTCATCTTTCTCCCTCAGAGTGGTTAGTGGATTTGAACTGTAAGACCTTGAGATTAACAACAGGCCAACGCATAATACTGTATAGCTTCAAGACAGAAAATCATCATAACCCCAGCTCCATCTATTTCAAGTAGGATTGTCTAGATATGAAATAGGACATGTGATTATATTACATTGTAACAATATAAGATCTAGTTAGAAGATAATAAAAGATAGCAGTTCTTCAGTTATCATCGGGCCCATTTCTATCACTGGCATCTTAATAATCTATGACTTCTTCCATTTCCTCTTTCCTGTACAGCAGTATAATGAACACACCATAGCCATCATTAGAGTATCACACTATACTCCTATTTTTCTATATAGTCTGATTAAAGATGATGAAATGGGTAATTCTTAAGAGCCCTTCTCTATAAAATGTCAACACCACCTCCTTTTACACAGTTGTTGTAAGAATCAAGTAAAGAATGAAAGGTGCTAGCACAATAGGCACTCAATGAACATTTATTAAAAATTGAGATGTTTAGGCACTTTTAGGAAATGCAGGGGTATATTTCAGCTATTTTTAAATGTGCAATCTTCTTTACACTGAAACCACTGTCTGCTAGCTTTTGTCTCTCCTTAAGTCATTGATAAAGTGTCTCATCTCTCTTTTGCTGATTGCCTGCCTTGCACTGAGCTGGTATGTGTGGTGTGTGGGCCCTTCAGATTAGAGTACACCATGGGGTGGCCATGAGTCAGGGTTGACTGAGCAGCTGATACTGCTTTCTGTGGTCTTACCTGTTTCTGAAACCTGAGGTGAATCCAAGCATTCAAAAACATGCCATCGAGGTGTTTGACCTAGCAATGAGGAAAAAGGCACCTGGCAATTTGGACAGTTGCCGTCATACACTGGGCGTATCTTTGGGGACACTTGTTTGTTTTTAGGAGCTCTACGGTGCTTTCCTGGAGTGCCCTGCTTATCTTGAGATGCCTGAATATCCTCTGCACAACCTGACTCAGGACCAGAAGCTACAGAAGTCTGACTGGGTGCTTCTCGGTCGCATCCTTCCTCGTCCTTGGCCTTCTCTTTCGCTTCCACTGTTCTTCCACTGTTTGGTTGTTTTTTATTTCGGTGTCGTTTCGCTTTGTGCTTCCCATCTGTTGCCTTTTCAGCTGATTTTGGACTGTTTTCAGGATCATGATTCTGATGCACTGGCTTTAGTTTTCTTTTGGATTTGTATTCCCAGATCTCTTCTTCCAAAAAATCGTCGTCTAGCATGGCAAAATGGATGTGTCATTAAAGCAGCACTAATTGGGAGCCCATTTCTTGTCACAAGAATGTCCAACGGGCTTACATTTCTGAGAAATGAGCAAAAACTATCAGCATACCCACTAGGTTGGCAAGAATCTAAAGTTATGGTGTGGAATATATTGGCACACTACACACTTTATACCTGAGCATGCAGGTTGTTCTAGTCATTCCTCAATAAAAATAAGAGTTCTTCCCTGTGTGACTTAACTAGAACTTGATTCATAAAAGCAGGAATCCATCATACTTTGCGAAGCAGGCACTAATGGAAAGTAGTGGTTCAACAGCTTAATCTGAGGACAAGCTTTCAGGACACTACTTTTAGTTCTCAGGCAAATGCAGAATGGTCCAGATCCAAGCACAGTCCTCAGAACAATGGGCTCTGCAAGTGTTCCAGTCAATAAGTGGTTACTCCGGCTTTAAGTATTAGAGAGGTGTGTGCTCAGCAAAAAGAAAATCCCACAAAACAAAACCGGGAACAGCTCTTCTTAGAGGTTCTTCAAACAGTTGGGTTTCCTGGGTCAGTGCGGCTTCTCCTGCCGTCAGCAACAGACACACTGCACAGTGAACAAAAGTCAAATATGTGAAGTCGTGCTTGCCCCTGTGGTCACACTCCTGGCTCCAGGCCATGCACCCGGGCCACCCTGAAGGTGAACGACCCACGACACGAGCCTCAAGATCGAGGTTCACCTGCCTGATGCCCCCCACCCGTTCTAATCTCTTTGGATGGTAGAGGAGGCCTCCACCAGTGAGTGGGGTCTGAGCCAATCTCAAAGCCAGCCTCTTCGAGGGGAAAAGAAAAAAACCCCGAAACCGCAGACATCCCCCCACCCCCACAGGTCTTTAGATTCCGAGGCGCAGCCCTGGGCGCCCTGGCCGCAGCCCACACGCCACCTGCGCCCCAGCGGAGCGGATCCACGCTCCAGCTGCCGCCACTCCGCCTGCCCGCCCGCCGGCTCCGGAGACGAGCTATTCGCGCCCGCACTTTCCATACCCTCCGGGCCGCAAACACTGCCTGTGTGCAGAAGCCAAAGCCATCGGATCGTCACTGCCAACTTTAAAAAATGCCTTCTTTAAGGACAGACTTACCCCCTTCCCCTCTCGCGTCTCGGCAGGAAGAAAGTCTTACAGCCGGGCCCGTGTCGAATCGGCTGATCCTCGTCTAAGGGCGGGAAGTCAAAAACAAAATCCTGCAGCTATCGGTGACCTTGTCATAAAGTCTACGGGTTTACTTAGGTTCTAAACGCGCTAGTTCTTCAGTGGGAGCTAGTGACAGGGCGTCTTTAGTGTTTGTCCGCCGCGGTCCCGCAGGCCTTTTCGTGTCGAATCTGGCACTCTGAACGTCCAGGCTCAGCGCTGGCGGGAGCACCGAGGGGCGGGGTGCTTCGGAACCAAAGTTTAATTCCCAAACCCGCCCCAACTCGTCGCCGCCCGCGACTACGACGGGTTGGACTTTGGCGATTGCACACCGGGTGTCTGGTTTATTTGTTTGTTTGTTTTGGGGGGGGGGCCTTGGCGTGGAGGGGGACTGGGGGCGAGCGCGGTGAATGTGTCGTTCTGAAACCAAAGGACCGTCGGCGAGTCCTCTCCCGCGGGCCCGGCGGCCGCCTCGGGAGCGACGGGAGGGAACATGGCGGCGCCGGGAGCGCGGAGCTGCAGCCTCTCGGGCCTGCTGCCGGCCCAGACCTCGCTGGAGTACGCCCTGCTCGACGCCGTCACCCAGCAGGAGAAAGACAGCCTGGTCTACCAGTATCTGCAGAAGGTGGACGGCTGGGAGCGGGACTTGTCAGTGCCCGAGTTTCCGGAAGGTGAGGGGCTGGCTTCAGGGTGGGGGACCTTCCCTCCCGGGACCTCCCCTTCCTCGGGCGAGGCGGGGTAGTGGCGCTCGCGCCCCAGTTTGGCGCGTCGCCCCACCCAAGCGGCTCGTCTCCAGCCCTTCTGGCCCCAGCTGCCTCGGAGGGGCAGTTTTGGAGGGCGGAGAAGTGCACCCTCGTCCTTGTGCCCTGAGCCTGGTGTTCACCACGTCGACCCTTCGTGAATCTCTGATGGTCTGGATGACCTTGATTGACAAAGGCCATCGCACCTTCGCCTTTCAGCCCAGCATCCTTATCCTCATCCCAGCGGACCTGAATGGCTCATTTTCCGTGCGCCCTACACACTTTGGAGCCCTTCAGGTGCATGATGTGTGCCTTACATCTTTTCACCCCATTGAGGCACTTTTCTTGTTCTGTTGGACATCTGAGGCAGGGACGTTCAGTTTCTTGCCTAGAGACTCACTGCCAGGCAATGGGTTCCAGACCTCAGGTGTGTTCCCTGTCTTTCGAAGTTGTGGGACTTTTAAAAAATTATCAGTCTGATTCGATTTGCCTGTCTGCAGGCAGATGAAATCCCAGCCCTGTGGAGGGAACAGCTCTTCCCAGCGCTGCTGTTTGTGAAGCCCAGTTTGCTGTCATCGGTGGGATTGCTGATTGGGACTGGTTTTGTTGCTGTTGCCGTGTCGCCTGGCAGTGACACCGAAACCCCATGTATAGTTAATTGGTTGGATGTGGCAGGGATCAGTTACCTCATGGGAGGGACACTGGAACCTGACCTTTCACAGCATCTTCTGCTGTGTTTCCAAGCTCTTTGCCACCCCAGTGGGGAGCGCTCACTTTGTTCAGTTCCTAAACCTAGATCACCTGTCTCATGAAAGACACTTTAAATGGTTATGCATTCAACTACTCTATGACAAGTGTGGTGGTGGTGTTAAGTGCCATCAAGTTGGTGCCAACCTACGGCGACTCTGTGCACACCAAAACGGAGCACGACACAGTCCTTTGCCATCCTCACAATTGTTCCTTTGCCCGAGCCCATTGTTGCAACCACTGTGTCCATCCACCCCCTTGAGGGCCTTCCTCTTGTCCGCTGCCCCTCTCCTGTACCAAGCATGATATCCTCCATGGACCGGTCTCTCCTCACAATATGTCCACAGTACCTAAGACGAAGTCCAGCCATCCTAGCCTCTCAGGAGAACTCTGGCTGTACTTCTTCCGACACAGACCAGATTGTCCTTTTTAGCAGCCCATGATACTGTCACTGTTTTGTTTGCAGCACCACAATTCAAATGTATCAGTTCTTCTTCAATCTCTATTCAATGTCCGACTTTCACATGCACACGAAGTCATTGAAGATGCCGTAGCTTGGGTTAGGCATACCTGAGTCCTCACAAAGTAACATCCTTGCTTTTCAACACTTTAAAGCAGTCTGGTGCAGCAGATTTACCTCATACAACTGGTCTTTTGATCTCTTGACTGACTGCTTCTGTGGAGCGTTCCATGTGGAATCAAGCAAGATGAAATCCTTGACAACGTCAACCTTTCCTCCCTTTATCATGATGTTACTTATTGGTCCAGTTGTGAGGATTTGGGTCTTCTTCACATTTGGTCTTAATCCATACTGAGCCTGCAAGCCTTCAGCAAGTGTTCCAAGTCTTCACTTTCAGCAAGTAAGGTTGTGTCATCTGCATATGGCTGGTTGTTAGTAAGCCTTCCCCCCATCCTGATGCCACGTTCTTTATAGAATCTAGCTTCTCTGATGAGTTGCTCAGCAAGCAGATTGAATAAGTATGGTGAGAGGATGCAACCCTGCTGCACGTCTTTCCCAAGTTCAAACCCTGTGGTCCTTTGTTCTGTTTAGCTAACTGCCACTTGATTCATGTACAAGTTCTGCATGACCACAATGAAGTGTTCTGGAATTCCTCTTAAGGTTATCCCTAGTTTGTTATCTGCACAGTCAAATGTCTTCGCATAGTCAATAAAGCACAAACATCTTTCTGGTTGTGGCAGTTAACAATCTACTGCCAACTTGAGTGAAGGGATGGAATCAATCAGGTCATAGCCAATGAAGCCTCTATGTGGGCTTGGCTTTTCCTGGGGATTGTGGGAACTCCTGGCTTCCTCTTGGGAGGCAGGACACACACTCGCCCAGCGAGGCATTCCTATTGACAAGCACATAGAGCTACTTGGATGAAGCCAGAGCCCTGGAGCTGGAGGAGCCACGTGGAGACCCACACCAGCGCTGAGATGTTTCCACTGCCACTGGATCTACAAGACTTTCCACCCACTGGCCTGTGATCTCTCTGCATTTGGTGTCATTATATGTGTTGTATGCGTGAGTCTGAAGAGCAATGTATAGACTGGTATCAAACATATGGGCTAATATTGGACTTACGGACTTGATCTGGACTGGACTGGGATGTTTTTTTAATATACAATTACTCTTTATATAAAGCTCTTCCTTACACATGAGTGTCTATGAATTTGTCTCTCTAGTCAACCCAGACTAACACACTGGTATTCTCTACTTTAAGCCAAGATCCATCAGGCACCAACAATGCTATCTCTTGTTCTAAGGTTCAGTGCAGCTTAAACTATTCCTTCAGCACCAGTGGTTCTTGCTCATATGCTCCCTGCTGAAATGGTGAAAAGTAGACCAGTTCTTTTTGGTACAGTGGCTGAATTCTTTTCATCTTTTGATGCTTCCAGCAGCATTCAGTATTATGCCCATAGAATCTTTCACTATTGCTGCGTGGGGCTTCAATGTCCCTTTCAGGTCTTTCCGTTTAAGATGCAGAACATGTTCTTCCTTTTTGGTTTTCTAACTCTAGGCCTTTGTACATTCCATTATAATACCTGACATTGGTTTCTTGAGCTGCCGTTTGAAATTTTCTATTCTGCCCTTTGATTTCCTCATTTCTTACATTTGCTTACACTACCCTACACCTGACAGGTATATTAGAGCTTAATTTCTGAGCACTCCATTTGCAGAAGACCATGGGTAACACTTAAAGTCCAGAATCTATATGCTGATCTCCCATGGGAAGTAAGCCTCCATTGACTTCCTTCTGACCATTGACAAGAGATATGAATAGTCTTGCCTTGGGAGGTTGGGCAGAGTGCATTGGGAAGTGGATTGCCTCACTCCCTGCAGGTGGAGACCCCTGTACTGAGGGTTGCATAGTCCTAAGAGTCTTGCCCTGATTGCCTTTGTTAGAAGGCCCTGGACCAAGCTTGTAAACTCCTCTGTCTAACATAATATGCCTGTTCCAGTCATGGTCCCATTTGTGCTTCTGTAGTCCACCTGTAACTGAGGTATTGGTCTGCTGCCAGTCATAACTGGCAGTTTTCTTTGGGTTCTGTGCCTGAAGGTAACTCCTTGGACACCATGATGACCTCATGCTAGTGACCTCCCTCATCCAGATGATGTGTCTCTGTCTTTGTCCCATTTAGGTTTAAGTTTGTAAAGTTTAAGACTTAATAAAATGTTCTCCTTAAATGATATTTGAGATTGGGCTCTCTTTGGCACCTAAAATAAAGGTTAGCCATTGAAACCCACTAACAGGCATCTCAGGAGCCCTCTGGTATAGATTTGGAATTGAGCTGCTAACCACATTGTCCCTGGTTCAAATCCATTAGTCACTCCTCGGGAGAAGATAAGGCTTTCACCTCCCATAAAGATTTAGAGCCTCATAAGAGTTTCTATGAGTTGGAATCAACTCGACTGTAAGTTTAGATTTTTGAGTCAGAGACACGTTGGAATACAAGGCTGGAGATTAGCTTCTGAGAGGTCTTGTGGAGCTGTAGTACTTTGTACACACCTGGAGGCCATGAGTCAAAGCCAACTCCATAGCAGCTAATTAATCTTAAGGGTCACTTAAAAATTCTTAACCTTCAGTTTCAATAACTCATTTGTGCCTAACTATGTACGCATACCTAATTATGTATGCAATTAAGTCCTCTTAATGTTTGATATTTCCTCCCGCTGCTTTTGGGTTCATGTGTTAATTTTTCCTTTTTCACCTACGCACAGACTTTCTGATGAATTCCACTTGTTTAGTAGCGTTTTCTAAGTTTGGGCCTACTTCCTAACAGCAGCTTTCCCCTCCACCTCCTTTCATCCTCCCACCTTCTCCTTCCTTCCTTCTCTGGGCCTTTGATCTTTATAGACTTGTCTCCTTGGCTATTTCCTTATCTGCACCAGTACTTGTTTTGTCACAGTCATGAAGGTAGAAGATTCTTTTTGACTGTTTATTGGTAAAAATGATGTGTTCTTGTAATCTGTAAAATCATAAGTACAAGTGCTCTAAACTAGTGCTGTCATGTTAACTTTTTTTGACTTAACACTACTGTGGAAGTTATAGAATTTCATGCCAACTTGATAGAATGTAGGGGTGTAGTCCAGTCTGTCAGTCAGGTCACAAGGTATGGATTCTGGGAACTGCCTCTTTTTCTTCTGGGAGGAGGAACAGATTCTCTTTCTGCTATACGTTCCTGTTGACAAGCCACACAGAGCTACACTGATGCAGCCATAACCCTGGAGCTGGAGGAGCCACGTGGTGGCCCATGGCAGCACTGAGATACTTCCAATGCCACTGGATCCACAAGACTTTCCACCCACTGGCCTGTGATCTTCCTGCATTCAGCATGACTGCACATGCTGTGACTAACAATGAATTTATGGACTAATATCAGACATAAGGGCTAATATTGGACTTAGGGACTTGATCTGGAATAGGCCAGAATGTTTTATTCTTATAAAATTACCCTTGATATAAAGCTCTTATACATACATGAGAGTCTCTGGATTTGTTTCTCTAGTCAACGCAGCCTAACACAACTACTATTAGAAAATACAATGGTTCATGTTTTGAGGTGACGTTTTGGATCCATTTTCTTTTTCTTGGTCTTTGCCTTTCACCACTGTAATTTTGTGTGAATTTCAGGATTGGAATGGCTGAACACCGAAGGACCTATTTCTATCTACAAGGATCTACGTGGAAAAGTAGTCGTCCTTGATTTTTTCACCTACTGCTGCATAAACTGTATTCACCTGTTGCCTGATCTCCACTCATTAGAACACACATACTCTGATAAAGGTATCTGCTCTTTAATTAATTTCTTGGAAACTGTCTTTGCCTGGGCTCTGAAAGACTAACGAATGCCATCGAGTCAATTCTGATTTATCAGGACCCTCTGTAGGATTTCTGAGGCTCTAAATTTTTGCAGGAGTAGTTAGCCTCATCTGTCACCAGTGCAATGACTGGTGAGTTTGAACAGCCAACCTTAGAGCAAACAGGTTAGCAGTCTAGGGCTTATGCCAGCAGCACCACTGGAAGACTAACTGATTCATTTGCTCATAGGAGAATGGCCCTCAAGACTTCGGTGATTCTCAAAGTAATTTCCAGTCTCTAAGAATCCCCTGTGCCTTTTTGCATTGCTACCTAAGGGACCGTGTGTGCTTTTCTCTGGGTGGACTTCTAGTCTGGGCTTTTTCTGAGCATGGGGCATATTTTACTTTTAACGACAAACATTTTTTATAAAAAGGTCTGTTTTATATGCTTAGAGTCACCAAAATTGTGTTCTCTGAAAAAATGAAATGTCTGACTCCCTCTTAATTTCTATGATATGAGCTGCAGTGGAATGCAAAATATACAACTGATACTTTTTCTGTGTCCTAGCTTCATTAGAAAAATGTTTATAAATCATATTAAGAAACCATCTTTTATAGTATTATAAATTCTTAAGCTATAAAAGATTACATGATGGGTCTTCAAAATGTTTATGGTAATATTCCATTATCTTTTCATTCTATTCTTCCAAGAACTTTTTGAAGTTACCTTGTACTTACTTTGTTCTAGTAGTTTTTTAAAAAGGTTAAAAAATTTTTTTAAAATTTTGTTCTTTCTAAATTAAGAGCATGGTGAAGGGGAAGGAAGCTAAAGAATATACTTATTTATGTTTAAATTCACTGACCTTTACTCCAGGAATAGATAAAAAGGAGGTGACTAGTGATAATAAAAATGGGGATAGAATATACTTTGCAAAAATGATGACTGTCTTGAAACTTTGTTAAGAAAAGGCTTGTAAATAAAACCTTCAGTGCAATTGAAATGTGCACCATTTGTAAGATGTGGCAGGAACTCATGCATGTACTCCTAGTAGCCAAGTTATGTTAAAAGTTCATCGCTGACATACAGAAGATGGTGACATGAGCAGTTCAAATATCCAGGAGTCTGCTGTGGAACAGACCATAAATTGCTCATATGCAGGTTCCAGGTGAAATGGAAGGAAATTAAAACAAACCCACAGAGTCAAAGTATGGTCTTTAGACTCTCCCAAGAATACAGTTGACACATTAGACCCTGACTGAAGATCAGACAGATTGTGAGAGGACATCAAAGACTTCATACATGAAGAAAGTGGAAGTTTATTAAAAAGACAGAAAAGACAAAAATGGATGGCAATAGAGACTCCGAAACTTGCCCTTAAATATAGAGTAGCTAAAGCAAATGGAAGAAATGATGAAGTAAAAAGTTTGAACAAAAGCTCTCAAAGGGCAGGCTGAGAAAACAAAGCAGTATGACAAACGGGGAGCTAGAAATGTGAAATGTGACAAACCAGGAGGTAGAAAATCCTAAGGGAAGGAAACATTTCCGAATGTTTCATTCAGGGGGAAGAAACGGAAGAAAAATTGTAAGCTGCAAGTTACAGCACCGAGGGAGTCTGAGCAAATCATCGAATGACACAGGACCAGGGGTGGGAGTGGCAATACCAGGAGGGTGGAGGGAGGGTGGGTTGGAAAGGGGGAACCGATTACAGAAATCAACATATAACCTCCTCTCTGGGGGACGGACAACAGAAAAGTGGGTGAAGGGAGATGTCAGACAGGGCAAGATATGACAAAATAATAACTTATAAATTATCAAGGCCTCATGAGGGAGGGAGGAGCGGGGAGGGGGAAAATGAGCTGATGCCAAGGGCTTAAGTAGAGAGCAAATGTTTTGAGAATGATGAGGGCAATGAATGTACAGATGTGCTTTACACAATTGATGTATGTATGGATTGTGATATGAGTTGTATGAGCCCCTAATAAAATGATTAAAAAAGAAAAAAAGAAAATGGAAGGAATACAGAGTCACTGTACCAAAAAGAATTGGTCCCATTTTCATTTCAGGTGATAGCATATAATCAAAGTCTAATGATCATGAAGGGAGAAGTCGAAGTGACATTGATGGCACTGGTGAACAATAAAGCTCCAGGAATTGATAAAATATTAATCGAAATGCTTAACATTCTGATACAGCTATTGATGTGCTCACTCATCTCTGTCAAGAAATTTGGAAACGAACTACTTGGTCAGCCAACTTCCTGGAAAAGATTCCTATTTGTGCCCATTCGAACGAAAGGTGATCCAAAGTGTGCGAAATGTATAGAACATCGCCATTAGGAGTACACACTACAGCACTACACTGACAAGGAACTGCCAGAAATTCAAGCTGGATTCAGAAGAGAATCTTGAACAAGGGATACCGTGATATCATTACAGGTGTCAGACAGAACTTGGCTGAAAGCAGCAAACACCAGATGTTTACCTGTATTTTATTGACCATGTAAAAAAGTATTCGGTTCTGTGCTTCATAACAATTATGGAAAATATGAAAATGCAACTTCCAGACACTTAATTGTACTTCTGTAAAGCCTTGTACATTCATCATGAAGCAGTCATGTGCACAGAAGAGAATACTTCTTGGCTTCGAGGCAAAAAGGTGTATTAGGGTTGTATCCTTTTACCACACCTATTCAGTCTGTATGCTGAACATATAATCTGCGAAGCTGGAGTAGAACGAACACGTTGGGATTGGAGGAAGATTGATTAACAACCAGTGATACATAAGGTGACACAGCCTTGCTTGCTGAAAGCAGAGGCCTTGAAGCACCTACTGATGAAGATCACAGACTGCAGCCTCCAGGGCAGAGTATACTTCAATATAAGGAAAGCAACAGTTCTCACAACCAACAACGGAGCCAGTCGGCAACATCATGATAAATGGAGAAAAGATTGGATCCGCAATCAATTCTCAAGGAAACAGCAGTCAAGAAAGCAAAAACGTCACATTGAGTACTAAGATGTGTCTGGCGAGCCATGGTATTTTGAATCACCTTACATGCTTGCAAGAGCTGGGTAATAAGTAAGGACGAACAGAGAAAAATGAATGCATTTGACGAGGAAGATGGGATGTACCATGGACCGCCAAAAGAATGAACGATCTGTCTTGGCAGAAGTACAGCCAGAATGCTCCTTAGAAGCGAGGTTGGCAAGACTTCATCTCATGTACTTTAGACGTGTTTTCAGACCAGCCCTAGAGAACGACATTCTACTTGCTAAGTAAATAGAGGACCAGCAAAAAATAAAGTGAAAGACTGTCTACTGAAATTATAAAGCATTACTGAAAGAAATGACGTGGGGGTCAGGGGGCAGCCACCTAACTCACTGGCATGCAGTCGATTCCCACAGGACAAAGCCGAGCTGCCCTCTGGGTTCCCGGAGCTGAACCTCTTCAGGAGTAGAAAGCCTCAACTCTCTCTGTTGGAGTGACTGCTCACAGGGTTCCCGAAAGAAATGAAAGGAGACCTACATAAATGGAAAGACCTTTCACCCTCACGGAGTTGTTCAGTTGACACCACTGCCCAGTGTGGAGGAACTACACAGTACTTGTACTCCTTATCAAAATTCCAACAGTTTTCTTTGTACAAATGGAAAATCCAATCCTCAAGTTTAAACAAAATTGCAAAAGGCTTTGAATAGCTAAAGGAACCTGGAAAAATAACAGAGAAGTTCACACACCTCTCATTACGAAGCATACAACAAGCCACTGGTACTATTTTAAGGGTAGATGTACAGGCCAATGGAATAGACTAGAAATTCCAGAAATAAACTGATTCATGACAAAAGTGTCATCTGTCGGAGAAAGAATAGTCTCGTCAAGAAACGGTCTCTGCGCAAAAGAATGAAGTTGGGTCTATGTGCATTCCATGTACAAAAATTAACTGAAAATGGATCCGTGACTGAGATGTAGTCAGTTACTTAATACGGCCCGTCTAGTCATAATCCCTCATATATTATAAATTATATTATAAATTCTAGCCTCTGTGCCTGTGTTTATAATTCCACTTGGGTGGTAGTTCTGTTATACTAATGGACAAATTAGGCGGTGCAGTTTGGTAGGTTTGAACCACCAAACCTGTGGTGATCCAACGCTTACCCAACAGTGCTACTAACACTCCTGAAACAAGACATGAAAGCAGACTCAGACAGATACTTGCACACCATTGTTCATTGCACCGTTATTTACACCCCAAAGGTAGACAGAATCCAGATGCAAATATGAAATACCTGGAATAGGCATATGCTGAGACCAGAACTTTAACGGTTACCAGGGGCTTGTGCCAGGGACATGGGGACTTACTGTGTAAGGGATATTGAATTACTGTGAAAGGTAATGGGAAAATTGGGAGCCAGGTATTGTGATGGTTCCACAAGTGAACATAGTTAATGCCACTGAACTTTACCACATTAATTAAAAAGGCAAACTAATTTATCTGCATGGTGTATGGGTATAAGAAAGATTATGGATATCTCTCTTTCACAAAGTTGTAGATACCTATGTCCTATTGCATCCTTTATTAAACATGCAAGGTACTGTCGTTACTAAGGAAGTAAGCAACAAAACTGAATCATAAGCACTGTAGGGCGACTCGAGGCACAAACAAATACCTGTCTTGAAAAAAGTACAGCCCGAATGCTCCTTAGAGGGGAGCACCGCGAGCCTTCCTCTTACTTTGGACATATCGTCAGGAGGGACCAGTCCTTGGAAAAGCTAAAGTAGAAGGTCATTGGAAAAGAGGAAGATCCTCAGTGAGCTGGATTGACACAGTTCCTGAAACTGCGTTCAAACACAATTATAAGCACGATGCTTGGCCAAGCAGTGTTCCCTGACTGTTGTACACATGTTCCCTGTCTGTTGTGCACAGGGTCACCATGAGTTGGAATGGACTCAGTAGCACCGAACAATGACAACACGGAACCTAAAGAAAG